TTAAAAATAACAGATTGTCGCTTTTTAAAAGGTAGTGTCTAGCTGATCTAAATAACGTATTTAGCTTTGACTTTGTTCACATTCTTTGGGTGAGATAGCTTTGCAGGCAAATTGAACTTCAATTTCCTTTTCCTGGTGCTCATTGTGAGTGTTGGGAAGAGGACAGTGGATAAGAAAAAACTCCACACATCTTTCCCAACAAACAATGCTGCTGTGCTGTTAATACAGTTGGAATGTTTATTTAATTAGTTAAATTTTCAGCTTTTAAATAAGAAGAAAAAACAAGCCATGGGTGGCCTGCTAACCTCAAAAGAGCAAATATCCAAAGTTATAAAATCATCCCAGCTCAGAATACTGGGTTAGATATAAAAACAGCATTTACTGAATTCTGCCCCCAAGTCAGGAACAGAGGTAGTATTAAGAAGTTTCAAACTGAAGCCTTAAGCCAGTGCATTAAGTGCTTAGTGTTATTTAATAAAAATGGACTGTGCATATACTTTAACTGAAACACTGTTTCTTGCTAAACATTTTTTTAACCAACATGTCTGTCTGGAATTATTCTCACCCCAATACAGAGACAGTTGCAAATGCTTATATCAGATAAACCACTCCCATTGCTGTCTCTGGCACCTTTATCTTAGAGCTCTTATGTTATGCCTTTAATCCAAGCGTCTCAAATCACTCTACAAGTGTTCAGAGCATGTTGTGAGTAGCTGACTGATACCTTGTTTAGCTCCCAGAGGATGACAGCGGCAATATCTTAGCTAGTAATGTTAGGCTGCTTTACTGTCCCTAATTCTGACTATCCATTCCAGATGGATCATTGAGAAGTTTCAACTACTAACGGCCTGATTCCATAGCCCATATCCAAGCAAGTCCAGATAAACTTCTACAGGAGCTAAGCCTGCGCTAGGGGCTAATCCTACACCTACTAAAGTCAACTGGAGTTTGGCAATGGGTAGCAGGATTGAGGTTGGAGACCAGATTATCAGAAGAGCTCAGCTCCCATTTAGACACCAAAATAAGTGGCCATATTTTCTAAAAGCAGCATGTTGGGTGCTGGGCTTTTGGGGAAGAATCTCTGTTATTTAGGTAGATAAATAGAAGCTAGGCACCAGGTCCCAACACCGGAATGGGGAGCGAGGCCCCGCCCCATGGGACAGGAGCCTTTGCTGGAGGGTGAGTGCAGGGTGGGCTCACTCTCCAACAGCCTCCTCTCGGCGCCAGGCTGGAATTAGGATGGTATTGCTGGGGTTTTGGTCAAAAAAAAAATAAAAGACACAATGCAGCTGGCGGGTTGCTTTATTAAAAAGTTTGGGAACTAATTGTCTAGTGCCTTCCTAAAAACTCTCTCTACCACTTGCTTTTCTGACTGTCACCAGTGATCAGTTAAAGACTGCTTAAAGAAATTCATCAAGGACAAAGATTCCCAAACCTTTTGGACTTCATCCTAACAGCGAGATTGTCTCCTGGACACCTCCGCACAGTAAGGTTGGCACGGACCATTCTTGATTATAGGGATGCTACTTAGCAATGACAGCAACTACTTACATGGAAAAGCAACATCAGGAAGGTTTTGTGTATTTTTAGCTTCTTTCTGTGCAATGTACCAGCTGGAAACAAGGAGGGATAGTGCCATGTGAGCTGCTAGCTCTCGACCGGCCACAAACATGTCCACCAATCTGAGAACTGCTACGTGCTTTGCCCCCCGCCCCGTTTTTCTATCCTTTCTATTGGCTGTTATGTTTTCTCCATTTTTATTATGCTCTTTCTGTGTAGTGTAATAATGCCCTTGGAGTTTACAATGGCAAGAGTTCAGGACAAGATGCTGTATTAACGAATCTCTTTTTTTGTCAGAGTCACTGTCAGATAAATTAAGCCACCCATTTAGAGCTTCATTCTCCCATATGCTGGAAAACCCAGCACAGAGAAGTGGAAACTCTGTTTTACAATTCAGAGTTTCCCTGGATATTTACACTGGGACACATGGTTTGCCACATGCAGAAGAAGCTGAGGATTGCACTCAACACCCATTGATCACCCCTGTAATCTACTGTAGGCAATATTCCACCTGCAGTAACATGCCCACCTTCCCCAGTAGGTTTCATGTGTAGAAAAATCCAGTAGAGTGAAGACATCCCCACCTCCTCCAAGTCCACAGAGCCTGAATGCTGGGAAGCCTCCACAGAGGGAAACTCTCTTGGAGTAGCAAGGGCCAGCATACAGTGAAGCTGGCATCCCCTTTCCCTTCCATGCAGGTAGGAAGAGGGCTGGGTGATGAGGCCCTTAGTCAGGTCCTTAGTTTTTGTTTTGCTTTTTCTTCTTTCACAATTTTACGAAATGTTACTTTTCTTAATTTACATTTTAAAAAAATTGTTTGGATTGTAACAGTGTCTGCAACTGATTGCAGTGTCTGTCTGACTGCGGTGTCTGCAACCCCGTCATTGCTGTAGTGTGCTGGTGCATGAGAATCAGATAGGGGAAACTTGACTAGTCTGTTTTCATTGCCCACGCTGAGTGACTGTAAAAAATAAATGGTATCACAAATGGTAGTAAATTAGATTACTAAAATCTGTTCATTTTTGAATGCTCTCAGGTATTAGTGACACAATGCTATTTAACCTGGTAGCGTCCCTTTAAAATTGTTTATTCTTTAAAAAAATCATGAGGATAAACTGATGTGGGAAGGTTTTTGAGTAGATCTGTATAGCACGGTAAGTAATAGTACAATTTCGGTACACATTGAACATGTGTTTGAAGCCAACCCCCTTTTCCCTGTAGCTCTGAGCCCCTGCTCTGAGCAAAATACAAGAGAGCTTTGGGGTCACCTGACTCTGTACTGGTGCAACCACTGAATGTTATCAACACTGAGATCTGACTGCTCAAGCAGCTAAGGTCTGATAAAAGTGAACAAATAACAGTTGGCAACATGGATGTATTTGCAGGGAATCTCCTATTTGGAGAATAAATTAGCCAACAAAAAACTTCTGTTTGCCAGCATGAGGGAGCTTGCTGATCTCTCACCCGCATTGTGCTAATTCTGCGCATTATAATGGGACTCATATTTTGTTGGCAGTGTAATTCTAGCCAGGTGTTTAACACAACGCTGAATTGATACATGCATGGCCCTCCAAACATATCTTTGAAGCGGGCTCCATGTCCTACAGAACCACAGAGTGCCTCTCCTTCTTACTCCAAACTGTCCTCCCTAATTCACCCACCTCAGCCTGTGAGCTGGATAGATAACATTCGTGCTCCTGGCTTCAGTGGCTCTCCTAGCCATTTGGCTGCTCTTGCTTTCTGAACATTAGCCTGGCTGCTCTTGACTGGTGGGGCTACCAGGGCAAGTCTTCAGTTCCAGTTGGTAGGAATCAGGGTTTGTCGCTCTCCTTAACAGATCTCTAAGTTCCTTGGAAGGCATCATTATCCCCATGTCCTATGGGAGTTGTGCTGTCTTATAACTTCATCTGCAAAAAGATGTGCAAATCTGAATGGGCCTCCTGTGTCCTTCGTTGGAGCACTATTTGAACTCAGTCATGCTTTCTGTTTCACTGTAGCAGTAAGGTGTGAACCAGGCTTTCCAGGATTCAATCTGGATTTGCATGCTTTCCGGTGACTGGAATTATGACCCAAACTGTGACTGTAAACGCTCCTGGGTAACTATATCAAAAAGGCTTTTCATTCCAAATAACCCTCCCCAGTACCTAAAACCACAAATAGGTGATAGATTTTCAAAGAGAGCTATTTGATGGTTGGTTGAGTGCAGATTTTCTGAAAACAACTGATATTGTACAATACCTTGCAGGAAAGACCTCCTGTTTGTTAACTCAGCATGCACAGTAGCATAGCTTTTGTTTTAGACCTTATGTTTCTGCTCATAATCTCAGTTTCAAGCAATATATATTTATGGTTTCTGCTTTCCTTTATAGAAGTCAATTAATGCCAATCCTTTAAACAATATAAAAACAAAATAGTGTATGAATGTATCAAACAAGTAGCTTTTCCTGACTTTACCAATTTCACTGGTCTCCTGTGTAAATGTGGTAATTTTAGTTCCAGTAGTAGCAATGGTGGGAAAGTTCGTGCACGGCACTGTCGCTGCAATGGATTGACATCCTCACCATGTTCCCCTGGAGCCGTATGAGCTTCAGCTCTCATGTGGTCACATTCTCTTCTAGCCACATCAGGGTTTTTTTAGTGGCCATGGAAAGTTCCCCCTTCACAGGGAGCGAAGTACCTGCACCAGCATGCAGGCGAGTGAGAGTGAGAGTGTGTGTGTGCGCGCTCCTCCTATCTTCATCTCAAAGAAGACATCTAGGAATGATCTTAGAGCACTATCCTTTCAGTGTTTCTGATACGCTATACTTATTCCCAGAAGCATCTTCCTCTAGAGATGAATGGTAACAAGAAATATAGTATTTTACTTCCCTCTTTGGAGCACTGTGGTACTTCCAGGTTTAAAATACTTGACAGGATTTGTGGAATACCTCCAGTGGGTATTTGGATGGTTAAAACCACACAGACAATTTTAGCATGGTAAGCTGGGAAGTAGGGCGCAACTCCCCTTAAGGATAAGAAAAGTTCAATTTACCAGATACAACAGGAGCGCACAACCTGCTGAGACCCCATTTCCCTAGAATGAAAAAGCACGAGGGAGAGCTGGAGTGAGACAGAATACAGAAATCAAGAACAAAAAAAAATATTTTACCAGTAAAAGGAGTGTGATGAACAATGGAAGTGCTAGAGAGGTGTGGAGCCCTTGTTTCTCCTGCCACTCCCACTGTGTACTCCCTGATGACTGTGGACAAACATAAAGAGCAATTTCCTTTAGCCAGGGAGAAAAACATCTTACCAGAGAGAGTTCACAAAGTAACAGTGAGTTTCACAACTGAACCCAGGTGTTATTGACGGATTCAGAATAGGACACTGTCACCTTTGATTTAATCAGGAGCCTGTTTTTGAGGATGCTAAAAGCTCTAGGCTCATAATCAAGTACTTACGTAATCATCCTCATTCAGACCTTGTTTCTGAACAGAACTTTTCACTTCCATGGAAAACCTCTCAAACTCAGGTTTCACTGTCCTCAGTAGAGTGACTGTTTGGAGGGATGAGTAGGCTTGCTTTGCTTCAAGGTCGTGTTTGTCTCCTCTCTTCCACGAGCCATTTCCTAAGGGAGAAATAAAAATGTTTACAATTCCAGGCTAGTTTGCATAAAGGGCTCGCTCTCCCTTTCTGCTTAAATATCCCCTATACGTTGCTTGGGGTAGACAGCAATGTACAAGATATTGTCACGTTTGCGCAATACGTGCTGTGAGGCTAATGTAAGAGAATTCAACATGCCTCTTGAAACTAGGGGAACAAGAGAGCAAGGGGGACTGGCGTAATGCCCTTGAAATAATTATACAGATTATGATCCTTAGTCAGAAGCCCAGCCTAGCAGAATGGTCAGCAATAAGGTTTTCTTCCCATATTTGCTTGATTATTTTTAACATCTGAAGTCAAGTCTAGATATGAGCAAATAACATCCTCCAATACAGAGAAGCAGGCTGTCTAGGGGCTAGAACAGGTGAGAGGGAGACAAAACTGGATTCAGTTCCCAGTCAATGTGCCACTGACTCCCTTTTAAACTTCGAGCAAAGTCAAGTCTAAGTAGAGTAAGAAGAGTAAAGTAATTACCTGGAATGATATCACACAGGGCCTGATCTTGTAGCCACTTGTCACCCAGCTCTCCCACTGAAATCAATGGGAATGCTATGTGCACACTAGCTGCACGATAGGCCCAGTTTCTCTTAGCAGAAAAAACACCCAACTACAAATGTGCCATTGCACACACTGTACTTGCATTTGCCCAATGACACAGCAGGTGGGAGACTGGACTCGGGAAACTAATACAGTAATCAGAGATTTTTAAATTCAATTGCAGCCTATTTGTTTAAATGCCTTTGCCTTCCTGGCCCTGATCCTGTCATGTCCTGAGTACTTCCTGTGCGTTGGCTGAGGCCAAAGGACCTGATTCAAAGCCCACTAGGTCAGTGGAAAGACTCCTATTGCCTTGAATCAGGTGCTAAGGCTGTTCTATGGAACTGATCAATAATGAGGCCTCGGGGGAATAACAATGTCCTTAAACAACTTGCTTTTAAATGCTTAAAAATAATTAAAAAACCAGACAGTCATTTTTATTTTTGGAACTAAAAACCAGTTGTGGCTAAAAGTACAAAGACTAAAACTGCAGAACACAAGTAGCTGTTGAGGTTTGGAATCCGGAGACACGCAGGACCTTGAGATGAGGGAGGATGTGGTCATTCAGCCTGGTTAAAGGAATTTGTTGATTTATAGACAGGCAGAAAGCAGGTCAGCTGAGACCAAAGGAAGGGAATGGAGATGGATGAGATAGAGTGAATGCCGGAGATGGCAGCAGCCAGGTATCAAACATTCTATCCGCCTTGACTTGGGACTATGTGCTTGCACAGGGATGGATGAGGGATAAAGATCTTATGGCCATGAGTGGGTTACACGGACCCTGGATCCAGGCATGCAGGTGGGTGAAAAGTGGGAGAAGCCTGCGTTTCACCTCCTCTGTTCCCCAGTGTGTTGAGATGGCAGCCGAGCTTCTGGGGAGATGTCATAATTTGCTGGAAGTACAGGCCAATTGCAAGTTACTCACCTCCTCCTGACCGAGCATGAGGGAACCAATGAAGGAACAGGGCCTGTGAGAAGCACATTTCTTTCAGTGTGCTGCTCCCGGGATACTGTAGCTGCTTGCCCACTCCATACACAGGACCTGTGGCAAAGCCACAGTCTAGCCCTCAGTGAGATCCATGTCAAATGGTAGCTCCCTTCCATTCTCTCTCCTTTCCCAGAGAAAGGCCTCTGTGCTTGGGACTCTGTTTACCAAAGCTGTGAAGGTGCTGCATCTCTATAGCCCTTGTGGATTATGATCTTAGCAAAATTCATAAATGACCCTTTTTTAATTCTTTAATTTTTATTGACCATCTATCTTCTCTTTTTCAATCAATTTTGTCTCATCTCCTCATGAGGTTCTCAGCTACTGTTACAGCCTGCTATCACAATTCTAGATTGTAACCTAATCAAGCACAAAAGCTTTGTTCTACCATGAGGTCCACACAGAAGATCTCTGAAAAGTGCATGACAACAGCTGACAGCCACAAAACATTATTAAGCCATGCTCTAAGCAGCATAGTTCCAAAATGTGGCATATATGTGGGATTGGGGATCTTGGCTTTCCCAGAGACAGCTGGGTTTCAGGTAATATTGGGCCTAAATGTGAACAAGCTTCTGTACCTCAGTCTGACCTAAACATGTTCACTTGAAAAGCTGTTGTAAATGGAAACAGAGAAGCTACCTTTACGTAATAGAGCTGCTAAAGTAATTGTACACGCTTTCAAATTCTTTCAAAGATTGCTTTGGGCATGGAGTCTGGGAGCAGCACTTAAAATGACTCTGATGAAGCAGCGCAACTGTTGCAGCCTCAACAATTAATGTGCCTTTTTACAAATTAAAATAAAAAAAACTTTAAGGACAACAAAAAAGAAGTGTGATTGTGTGATCTTATAGGAACAATAGCTACTTGTAAATCATATTTCTGTCTAATGGTTCTGTACCTTTTTAGACTTCCAATAACACAAAGTTTATTAGAACTGTAAGAGGAGATATGGACATTCTGTGTTCAGTTTGTTTACCTTATGCATTGGACAACAATTTGTCAGTTTCGTAGATTTCTCTTCAGAGTTAGTTTGCCTCTTCTTAAAAAAGAAGAGCAGAAGATCCTTCTAATGTTTTTTCCCCTAGGAATTATTTACAAAAAATATTCAGGAAATGCTATTTAAACTGGTCAGTTGCCAAGAAGTCAGATAGACAGTGCTCCCTTAACTCTGGGGTTGTGGTGCTGAGTCCTTTGTGAAATATTTACCTTAACTCCCAAGGATACCTTTTAGTATATGGATGTGTGGGGCACAGAAATCTGAACCAATTAAAAAATATAAGCACATCACATGTATGTGACTATATTATACTGGGGTGAACATGACTGTGCTTCTGTGCACCAGGTGATACTACAAGGCTAAATATAGCAGCGTGTCTCTGCAGGAATTATGTGCCATCAAAAACTGGAGCACATATTAGATCAAGGGTTTCTAGCCACTGGTAGGTGTACAAATCTGCAAAAACTCCCACTGACTTCCGTGGGACTAGGATTTCACCCCAGGGCGTCAAGATTTTCTGGCTGGTGATCTAGGCAACCCCTCACTACCTTAACAATGACTCTCTGTGCTGGGATTCACTGTGTCACTGCTGCCTACCTCCCAGTCAGTCATGGGCAGTCTAGCCCACAACAGGGGTTGGGCTATTCCAGGCCCAAGACTTGCAATCACAAGACTGGGATTTGGAGCAACCTACTGTGAATTAGAACACACACAATAGAATAGAAGGTAGTGAGAACTGGCTGGTATAACAAAGGTCTTTGTTGGAAGCAGTTTTCCCACAATGTAAGGGAATTTCTGTATTAGAACTCTCATTTAGTCACACAGCTTCTTCACACAGATCAGTCCAGAAGTAGTTAAATCCAGAATTTCTGGTTTCCTTCTTGCTAATATCATAATTCAAGTGGCGGGTAACCTCAGGGCCAGGGAGAGATAGTGGTGTATTTTAAGACTAATAGTGGTATATTTTAAGACTAACAAATCTAAAAATGTTATCATGTTTACAGAAAGTTTTGCAACATACTGCAGGGGTGGGGAATAACATTACCATATGACGAGCTGTTGAAGAGTTCAATATTGAAGAAAGCGTAGTCCCCATTGGTCATTCCTTGTCGATGAGCAGCTAGCATGATGTTCCTTATTGTGTCACCGCTGGCACACATTATTACAACTGGTGGAAGAAAATGGAAAACAGATAAGAAGCTGTTCTTGAAACCTCTGGGAACAGATTATGAAGCTTGTCCACTGCCAGAGACAGTGACCTGAACTGTCCTCCCAACATTTTAAAAATCATGGGAACAGGGCTAACAATTAAATCTGAGATTTCCAAAGGAGCCTACATGAGACGGGGATACAAATACCAAAGGCCAATCCTTTACCCACTGAAGTCAATGCCAAAAATCCTATTGACTTCAATGGGCAAAGAATTATGCCCAAATACAATCTTATTCTTGATTCATGTAATGTGGTGAGGTTTGTTGGTTTAATTGTGCATTTAATTTTTATTACAACACCACCTAACTCTTATATAGCACTGTTCATCAATAGATCTTAAAGCACTATACAAAGGAGTATATTATCTCCATTTTATGGATTGGGAAATTGAGGCACAGCTGGAGAAGTAACTTGCCCAAGGTCACCCACAGGTAAGTGGCAGAGCCAGAAAAAGAACCCAGGTCTCCTGACTCCCAGTTCAGACCTTGTTATTGCAAGTGAATATGAAATTATTCCAAGATTAAGACATAAAATGATAAAATTATCATTCAAAATGAAATTCTGAATACCTTGAAAACAGTTACAGTGTTAAAAGACTCAAGGTCTCATTTATCAATGATCCAAAAGACAGATAAAAGTTCGGATCCTAAAATGTGATCCGCTATTATTCAGCGGTACTCCATCCATGCTAGCAGATTAGAAGATCAGAGCTATGCTGTCATCCAAGAGGTAATATCCAGGCAACATTTACATTACTTCAAAATTCTACGGAGATGCAGCTGGGCACTTGGCATTCTGGTTTGTACTGTATGCTGGAGAGGAGTGGGTTACAGTGGAAATCTACTGTTGTTACCATATGTCAGAATTGGTGCCAGTGATGTGCAGAAGGACAAGATACTGGATGGCTCAATAAGCTTAAGAGAGAAGTCTGGTCAAAAACTCCCAGGGCATGTTAATAGTCCGTTTTGTGCATGTGGTGAAATTCACCCCTTCCCACTCAATAACTTGAGTAAAGAGACTTTGTGCAGGGAGCTAAGTGGAAACTGCAGGGATAGAATCTACTTCCCAACCTGCCACTAATAGGTTGCAGCTGCTATTCCAGCCTATAGGAACATAGTTGCTGTTCCATCATGCTGCCTTTTTTTTTCCTAGCCACTTGATCTGTGTAAGCATGGATCTAATCCCTGTTTTTCCCTCTGTACTAGCTTAATGATGCTAGCACATAGGTCAATTCCCCAGCATACAAGGCATGGAAGGCGACATCACCTGTTCCCCTCTCCCCCTTCATCAAGAGGTGTACTTCTCTCGTAGTAAACAGTCTATATCACAAACTGCTACATAACTTCACAATACACGTGAAACTAGCTAAACTATTAAATATGTGCAGGTCTGTGTCCAGGCAGAGCATTCTGTTCCCATTCCTAGGATGACACATGCAGCAAGCACAGAAGGCGGTCTGGTGTGATACAAGTATGCTTGTTTAATGGCCGGGTCCATGAGATTTGATCATAAAAAAGCAAAATAAAAGTTGCAGTGCGCTGACTAAAAAGAAACATAACATTCTCAAGAAGTACTGCCATGCCATGATAAAGCTACAACAATGGAAGCAGCTATTTTCATCCAAACAATAAAGCTCAATCAAAATCATATTCAGTTTTTCTTGTCAAGTGCTTGTGCTCACATAAAATAAAGTTGCAAGCAAGCTAAATCTTTACTCACACAATCCATCTTCTTCCTTCTTTTCTAGGTTTATTCCATTATAGGCATAATGATCCAAATTCATCCCTGGCATAACCCAATACACTTCAGAGAAGTTCCACCAGGGACAGGTCTGTCTTAATGTCTGTAGTCGATTAGTATAATAATTTCCAGAGCAAACTATAACTTATGAGTATTGTGAGTCGGTTACATGGGGGGTGGGGAAGAGAGGAAAAAGAGCTCATGTTTGATATAAACTTTGGCATAGGAATTACTGAATCATTATCTGCAAATACAGCCTATGGGATCAAATTTTCTGGATTTACACCAGGAATGAATTTGGCACACTGTTCCTAATCGGAAAGGTGAGCTGTTTTTCTTTTAAAACACTTTCTAATTGCCCTCCCAATCGTCTCTTGACTTTTGCCTTCATAATTCACATCTACTATAAAATCCCCATCCTGTAAGTGAAATTGAAGTTATTCCCCCTGCACCAGTTTATGACCTTGACTAACAGGAATGAAGAGTGGAAAAATTTCTGCTTTAAAATGTGTTGATAGGTCGTAGTTTGAGAGCTGATAAAGGAATGTGAGGGGACAAATGTTAACTATTTGGATGTGGTTTTAGCACAGCAGGAATATATCAAAGATTACATTTTTTTGGTGTGTACAGGAAATACACCCATAAAATCCAAAGATAAGTTGTGTGTGTGTGTCATTTTTTGCAAGCTTTTAAAAATGTAAATTAAGTAAAAATGTAACTGTTTATTTGGTCTGTATTTGTAAATTAGTAGAAAATATAATTAAATTCTTATAAAAAGCAACAGAGAGTCCTGTGGCACCTTTAAGACTAACAGATGTATTGGAGCATAAGCTTTCATGGGTGAATACTTTATACTTTCTTCAGTTTAAAATATACATATCAAAGTAATTCCAGTATTAGTATTTTGATCCTGCAAGCACTTATACAGTGCTTAACTCTATGGACGCAAGTAGTCTTACTGAAATTAATGGGATTACTCAAATTCTTAAATTAAGCATGTGCTAAAGTGTTTGTAGGATCTGGACCTCAGCCAGCATTGCTGAGTTTTGTTAAACTAATTATTGCTGATTTGAAAGCTTTAGCCAGTTGACTAGATCTGGAAAAGCATTAAAAATAAAAAGGCCAATCTTTGTAATAAACACTCACTTTTCATGGTAATTTTTTGTGACATTAAGATTTGGAAGAACCATTTTCAAAGGCTTAGATTCATATTTGCCAAGCCGTCTTCCTTTCTCAACCATGGTTACCAAATTTGGCCCTACCAAATTCATGGCCACGAAAAACGCATCACAGACCATAAAATCTGGTCTCCCCCATGAAATCTGGTCTTTTGTGTGCTTTTACCCTATACTTTACCGATTTCATAGGGGAGACCAGTGTTTTTCAAGTTGGGGGTCCTGACCCAAAAAGTAGTTGCAGGGGGGGTCACAAGGTTATTTTTGGGGGGTTGCGGTATTGCCACCCTTACTTCTGTGCTGCTGCCGTCAGAGCTGGGCAGCTGGAGAGTGGCGGCTGCAGGCTGGGAGTCCAGCTTTGAAGGCAGAGCCACTGCCAGCAAAAGTAAGAATGGCATAGTATGGTATTGCCATCCTTACTTCTGTGCTGCTGCTTTCAGAGCTGGGCAGCCGGACAATGGCGGCTGCTGACTGAGAGTCCAGCTCTGCAGGCAGCAAAGCAGAAGTAAGGGTGACGATATCATACCATGCCATCCTTACTTCTGCGCTGCTGCTGGTGGCAGCTCTGCATTCAGAGCTGGACTCCCGGCCTGCAGCCGCTGCTCTCCAGCTGCCCAGCTCTGAAGGCAGTACTGCTGCCAGCAGCAGTGCAGAAGTAAGGGTAGCAGTACCGCATCCCCCTCTACAATAACCTTGTGACCCCCCTCCCCAACTCCTTTTTGAGTCAGGACCCCTACAATAGCAACACTGAAATTTCAGATTTAAATAGCTGAAATAATGAAATTTATGATTTTTTAAATCCCATGACCGTGAAATTGACCAAAATGGGCCATGAATTTGGCAGGGTCATAACCATGGTATAACTTTTAAAATGTATTGTACTTCTGTATTAGGGCTTGATCCTACCCAGGGCACGTGGGATAACGCTACCACATGGATGGGATCCAAGATGTCACTGAACACAGCACGGCAATCCTGCTGGTGCAGCTCGCCAGGTGTGCCAGGTGCAGAGAGCTACATACACATGGCCACCATGCAGTAGAGGCAGTCCAGAAACACCCACACCCTCCAGGAGGGTGCAAAGACAGGAGGGTGTGCTCCATGCTGTTATGGATGTGCGATGCAGGAGGCTGCAGGAACTGGAATTCTAGTTTCCAAACTACATTTTCAAAATGTTACCTTACTGTGATAATTGTAAAAAGTGTATTCTGAAAACTAAAATTAATTAACTCTTTAATGCAGACATTTATGAATGACCACATAAGCAGGTTCTTAACTTAAAACATGTGCATAAGCCCCATTGAAGTAAATCTCTTCCCCATTGCCATGAAAGTGAGTGGGACTATCTGCATGAGTAAAATGAGTAGAATTTGAATCTATATCAAGATTTCAGTGACTGTCACTCTCATTCTAATAAAAAAAATATGAAAAATTAAGCAACAATCAATTGCAAGTATAATCCTCTGAGAAATTATGGAAATTCCCCTTGTAAACAGGAATGAAACTGAAGATAAATGAGTTGAAGGAAGGGAACACCATTCCCTTTGTTAAAATAAAATGTGGCTGTGTATTTTATATATATTATATATATATATATATATATATATATATATATAAAAA